TGTGTGTGTGTGTGTGTGTGTGTGTGTGTGTGTGTGTGTGTGTGTGTCGGGGGGCGGGGGATGTGGGTGTCGAGGCGGGTGAAAAGCCAAGTTCTTTCGGTTCACCGAACCTCTTGTGGCCAGAGGGGACAACTGAAGAGGCAGGTCTCTTCCTCCCGACCCACCTGCAACCCGGGCGGAGCGGAGCCAGCCCAGGCTAGGGGACCGCAAGTGCCCAGCCATACCCCTCACCTGCGGCCGGAAGCCCGGGGGGTCGCGGGGACTGCGGAGCGTCTGGGACGGGTCAGCGGGCTCTGTGGAGCCGGAGGGCAGTGGCAGCCAGGCCTGGCGGCTCCGCGTCCCCGCGGGGGAAGTTTCTTGGCCCGGAAAGGTGCAATTGTGTGCAGCTATTCCTGGTATGTCAGGCCGCAGGCTGTAGGGGTACCGCCTCCCGAGAGCCTGGGACAGGGAAGGCTGGCAGAGGCGGGAAGGATGCGGGCTGGGGAGCATCTCCCCGCCCAGATAGTCTGACCAAAGTGGTGGCAGCAAGGACCCGGGCGAGGACCGGAACGTAGGGGGTGGGCTGGGGCGGGGCCACTGCTGAGGGCGGTGATCGAGCTTACGACTTTTGAAGTTCCCAGGAGTCCCGGCTCCCGCTGTGCACCACTTCTAGTCAACTTCTTCACCTCCCCTCTTCGCCCCATTCTCTCTTGGTTTGATCCGATTTCAGGAGTTTCGAGAAAGCAATACCTGCAAGTTCTGCTAGGTTCCTGAACTTAAACTGCACGTCGCAACAAAGGGAGGGGAACGCGTCTGGGTCCCGGAGTGCACCCACTTAGCTGCTTTTTCCCCTCTCTTGCTCGAATGATGGAAGGGATGGAGGACGCCGAGGCCGATTGCTCGGCTGCATTTGCAGAGGCTCAGAGATGGGTAGAGGTGAGTGTCTTTTTACAGCTCTTTGCAGATGAATTTGTGCCCTCTGGTCTGGAGTCTTTTAGTGACCGGGTTCCCAGGCAATCTAAGCTTATGTCCGGTGGACCTAGCTGAGGAAAGAAGAGGCAATTTGGGAAGCCGTGCAGATTCTCCCTTTCCAATACCCTGATGCCTGTCCTTCCTCGAACTTTCTTGTGGCTCTCCCAGAGCTTGCCCACTGGGTTTTGGTACCGTGCACCCCAGAGGACCAGTCCAGGACCAGCTTCCCCAGACGTCTCTGTGAAAGCATTTCCCAGACAGCTGAACACAGAGCTAGGCTGGGGTCCTTGGGTGCATTTCTTTGCGATGTTGATACCTGACAGACACCTGGGTAAACTGTATTTAGTGTGAGTGTGAGTCTTGGGAGCTGGCTGCTGCCACCCTCCTCTACCCTTCATCCACTCTGGAGTTAAAAAACTAAACATTCTAGGCTCTTACAGAGGTCTTGCTATTCCAGCTGTGTCTCATAGATAAGGTCTTCCGTTCCCTTTATTCCTGTGAAGGAGAGACAGTCCCTGCGTTGCCTTCGGACTAGGCTATTTTATTCTGGAGTTGACAAGTTGAGGAGAGGGGGTGCGCATATGTATGGTTGTGATTGAACACCCACTTCTGTGTGCTAGCACTGTTACAACCCTCCAGTCTGAGATGTCTTTTTAGGATAGGTCGAAAGATTCCTTCCAAATGTGGGAATCTCAGTAGCTTCCTTCTTGTTATAAAAATGTTTCCTACACCAGTATTGAAGTCATTTTGGAATTATTGGTGCCACATGCTACTTTTTCCAATCACTAGGAATTTAATCCAGGCCTTTGGGCATGCTTGACAAGAGCTCTACTCCTTAATCACACCCAAGTCCCTCAATAACATATTTAAATATTCAAATTAAGCTTAAAGAGTCCCTGGGAAAAGGAAGAATGTCAGAGAGACTACACACACATATATATGTATATACGTATACATATATAATTTTATTTTCTTTACAGAAACATATGTAGGGCTGGGGAGATGGCCCACTAGATCTCACTAGCTTGAGAACCTGAAGTCACTGCAACCCCAGGACAGACAAGGCCGTAGAGACAGAAGGATCCATGCGACTTGCTGACTATCTGGTCAGCTAGCCTAGCCAAAGTGATGAGTTCTAGCTTCAGCGAGAGACGCTGTATATTAAAACAAAAGACAAAAAAAGACTAAGAAGAGACTTAGGGGGAAAACCTGGCATTGACTTTTAGTTTCCAAACACACACATGCGTGCTCACACACGCACACATTAAAGAAAAACATGCATTTATGTATTTATTTGGGAAAAATAAAAATAATGAATGTTAAGTGATGTCACATTTTTACTTTTCAGTAAAAGGGCATGAGATGTGCGTGGCATTGCTTTCTAGATGGTAGGGATGTGTCAGAAGCTGGCTTTTGGTGCCTTTAGGGGCTGAAACTTTGAGTTGTCTCAAGGTGACTTAGAAAGATGGGAGGGAGGGCATGGGAGGCTGGGAGAAGTTATAAACACTGTATTCGGAATGGAAATGAGAGTGGAAAAATCCCAGCAATGTCGTGAAGAGAAATAACTTTGCTCCTTCACAAACCTGGAAAAGTCAAGGCTTCACCTGGAATTTTCCACCAGTGGTGTTTGCTCTGCAGAATTTCAGAAAGCAAGTTAAACTCACCATTCTCCTTTTCATTTGAGTGTGGAGGATGGGGGGAGGGGGAATGGATGGGATTCGGGGGTCTTTTCATTCTTACAGGACTCCTGGTTGATTGGCAGGTGTTGGTCATGCAACTTCTAGGTGGTGTCAGTCTTTGCAAGACTTAGGCTTCTCTCAGGAAATGTGGATACAGATCATTTCACACCAGTGGTTGGTTTCTAGATCCTAGGAAGGTCGCTACTACTTGCTTGTCTAAGCACGCTTACAATTCTGTAAGAGTTCTGTGAAAAATTTGCATCCTGTGAACTCCTGGCAAGTGTGCAGAGATGATCATCATGTGTGCTCACTCATCTTTCCCCTGCATCCCAGTCTACGGAAAGGCTTAGCAGCAGTAATTTGGTACATTTCTTATTTACAAAGACTGCAGTGTTTCTACAGCTCCTGCCAGATCCCTTTAATATAGTTAGAGAAATTAAAATTAAATGCTTTCCCCTCACACACCAGTAGAGCTACTGTTTAATGTTTGTTGAGAAAATTTTTGTATTTATATATTCTTTTTTTTTTTTAGACAGGGTTTCATTGTGAGGCTTTAGATGGCCTGGAACTTGCTATGTAGATCAGGATCAGGCTGGCCAGAGTGATGGGACTAAAGGCATGCACCATCATACCTGTCCACATATTCCTACTTAAGTTTTTGTTTGTTTGTTTTCTGAGACAGGGTATCTCTGTGTAGCTCTGGATGTCCTGGAACTTGCTTGGTAGCAGACTGGCCTTAAACTCAGAGAGATATCTGCCTGCTCTGGAGTGCTGGGATGAAAGGTGTGTGCCACCTCCACCTGGCCTCTACTAAAAATGTTTGTCAACTATGCTTTAGGAGTACTCTGTGCATTTGAAGTGTTGCCAGCTGATTATTTGGTCAGTGTTTTCTTTACAATTAAAACTTGTGTTTAAAATATTCTGTTGCCCAAAACAAACAGACTGTCTAACTCTGATCATCACAACCTATTGCTTTCAAGGACCCTTAGTTCAAAAATTAAGTGTTTCTCTGCCATTTTGGAACACAAACTGGATACTGACATCAAGTTCCCCTGTTGCTAATATTCTTGCTCTGTCTTGTTCTTTCTGTTGATTTTTTTCTACATAAGCTTCTGATCCATACATCTTATGTATATATTGTGTGTACACGCGTTATGACATGTGATATTTGCACAGAGTATAGCCTGCTGTTCTATCTTCACCTATACCTTCTGCTGCGCTGGAGCTGGAGACTGAGCCTAGCTGCCTCACTTTTTTACTGGGCTCCCTACCCCACCCCTTCAGCTGCAGTGTTGACCCTCCCAAGGTCAAGAAAGTCCAATAGCCTTGTCAAACTTTAAATGACGACTAGACTCCGTGTCAGTGTGCACTCTCCGTTTCCATTTTCTCTCTGTGATGACAAATACCCAATGTGTCATTCTTACAATCAAAATTAAAGCTATTCAAATTCATTTTGGGGGGCATTATGGAGCAAGCGGGATGTGAGGGCTATTGCCATTTTATTGATCTCTCTTTTCCTTCATTTTAAGTTATATTGAGATTCTTAGGAAAAATGAGAATACTAAAGAGGTTTTTCTACCTGGGGAGTAACTTTGCAGTGGAAATAAATGCAGGTGCGGTGCCCTTTAAGATAAGGCCGCAAAGTGATGTCGGATGAATCATCTAAGCGGAAACGTTGTTTGGAATATTTATAATGTAGCAGGGCTAGTTTATGATTAAACATTGGTTAAAACTGAGTTAGGCAATGGTTTGCAGCCAACTCTCTCTGGGCAAGGTCACGGAGTCGGTGGTGAAGTGGAAGAAAGCACAGCCTAGACGAACTCACTAATTTTAGTGTGCTTCTGCTGTACCTTTTAATTTCCTGTACCTAATAGTTGCCTCTGTCTGCTTAGGGACAAACCCTTAACTTAAGCAGATAGAAGACTGATGAGATTGAAAACCAGAAATGCTCCTCCTCGCCTCGCCTGGTCTCTGGTTTCTAGTCTAGTGAGTTCATGTTGCTGTCCAGGCATGAGGGTTGAACGCTGCTGTGCTGATGGCTGGCACAGACCAGGCCCGCTTGACTCACTACCTCCCTGCTCACCTGTCCTACCTCTTATCTCGCGGTCTGGGTCCTTTAGTATCGCTATCATCCTGTGAAAAGATCGAAGGGTGCCAGCTTGGGTACACTGCCAACTCCAGTACCAGAATAAGAGTCCTGGATCGTTGTTTGCTTCCTTTTGGTCCCCCACCCTTCAAAGACATTCTTTCGCTGTCCTCTTACTTATTTTGTTTGCCTCTTGCTAAAGAATTTTAAGAATTTAAAGAATTCCTTGGTTTTAAAAAAAATTGTACTTTCTGGGTCTACTATTGATATAATCGAAGTTCTACCCCTCTTTCTCTCTGAACTGTATCCTTTCTAACCATGACTGCCAACCTCAGGTCTGTAAGATACTGAATGCTCCCTGCACACCAATGTTTGACTTCAGGTCAAACGGAAGTCTCATGAATGTGTACTGGTGCTTTTCAAACGCAGATAAGCGTGACAAATATCCATTTGAAACTGTTTCTAAATTCAGAGAAGCACATTTGGTAACAGGTGTAATTTTCTTTCTTGGTTTGTTTTTGTTTTGTTTTGTCTTTTTTTTTTGAGACAAGGTTTCTCTGTGTTCTGGAACTCACTCTGTAGACCAGGCTGGCCTTGAACTCAGAGATCTGCCTGCCTCTGCCTCCTGAGTTCTGGAATTAAGGATGTGTACCACCACATTATAGCAATGCATGTAACTTCAATTGTCAAGTTGAATTATAAAGTTTCTTGGTATAGTGAAGTTAGTGTGATATACAAAGAGGGTAACCTATACTTGTAACAAATAGCTATGTCTCAGTCAATCACAAGCATCCTACTGTTCAAGTCATGGTCAAATAAGACAAATATCAGGTGTAACCAATGGAGTGCTAGCTCTACCCCACTTCCATTTCTTACGTTATTTCCTTTTCATGCTCAACAAATATAATCTTCCCATAGTGGGGTGGAATCATCTCCACTTTTGGGTCTGTATGGCTGTTATGAAAACCACTGAACCACAGCCCTCCATTTGTCTTCGCTCTTGCAGAGGACTTGAGTTTAGGTCCTGGACTTCATCACCTGTAACTCTAGCTCTAGGAAATCTGATGCCCTCTTCTGGCCTCTGTGGACTCTTTGTGACAATGGACATGTCACACACACTCACACATACACACAAACATACATAGATGTTCACACATGCATAACATGGACACACACATTAAAAAGCATAGAAAGTCATC